GAAGGACCTCACTGACACCAAGGGAGGGTTCCTTAGAGAGGTATCAAATATTTGAAACTGATGTTTGTCTTTCGGCACTTATGCAAGTATCAATCTTGGGGGTGTCGGTAAAGATTGGAGGACTCCTGCCCTGGTCCCTAGCGGGCTTCTGTACCAGAAGGCTTAGGTTTTCTGAATACCTCCACTACTCCTATGATATTATCATATCATACCCGGGCAAACACTTAGATGGAGCAACCGGCACAAGTAAAAAATTAGGGCTTGGGAAATTTCGGGTAGAGTCCACCGGGAAGGGCTAAGATATAATAGGACTTATGTTCTCAGTATGATAGTAAGATATTCACTCTGAATTTACCTGAGCCAACATATCCACTATCATACAATTGAATATGAGTCAGCACTCTAGTGTTAAATTTTGTTATAGTATCATACCGTCACTGCACTGTACTGCACTAACTTTCACAGGAAAAGGTAGAGACGAGTGCAGCACATCAATATTTAAGAGAATTTTAATTCCACAGCTTGGACTTTAAGCCCGGGGGGTTGCTACGTATGATAATATATGATACTACAATACAATCCAACTTTCCCGAGTGACTTCCCATGAATGAGAGCTCCTCATCCCGCATTTCCAATCCCAGAACTCGGCACCTCCTTCGGAAACTTCTGGAACAAATCCACGGGCTTTCCGATTGGCGCTGCCACAAGTGACACAGCTATTCTCGAACAGCGGTCTATCTGGATAGACCCCGACCTCCAGCCAACAAATGATATTCCACCGCACCCTCTCCGAGTACATCAAAGGAGGAGAGACCACGGACCTGCCCCCACTTGAGCAAGTCCTGCGAAGGGCAGACGTGTACGGCAATAGTGGGATTCTAGCCAAGGGCTTTGAGTGCATGAACATCTTCGTGCCCACTCGTAGCCATCCGAGCACTGGGATATGTGTTCGGACAGCCACGAATCGGATCCCGAGCCATACGTACTAACATGAATCAAGAGGGGGGGAATGGGGGAGGTTGTAGGCCGCTCCGCCGTGTTTAGTGCTGTCTTTCTCCACAGTGACTCCTCCGTCTCGAAGGTGCTTTCCCATGGAGGGGTAGACTACTAGCTCCTATAAGACATCAGTATCACCTCTCACACATCCAGGACCGCTACCATCACCAATGGCCCACCATGGAGCCTACCTTACTAATTGGATGTCATGCCAACCCCCAGGAAAACTGATTCCTCCACCTGGGCCCTGAATCCTCATCTATTGCCTTACAAATATCGTTATTGTAAGGCTCTGAAAAGCGGGAGGCTGGAGATTGGAAAGAGTGGAGGCCGTAGATACCGTTACCGCTACTTCACGGTGGGTGCTGGGCGAAGTTTTCAAAGCATTTATAGCTTTGGGAGTGGGATGTCAATCCGGTTCACCTTGGCGACATTCCCGAGGTTTGAATCGCGGGTAGGCAGACCGAGATCCGTTGAAAATTCTAGCTTCAGTCGATATGGTTCGATCAATCAATGCTGAGATAATCCCAATTTTTGAGAGAACTGGGCAACATACCCCTACTTCAAGTAGGTATACCCGAAATTTCATGATTCAGGAGAAGTTACAGACAACCCTCCCAGAAAGTGGCCCCTACGAATTCAACCTCGACGCGATGCATAGCGCAAGGATTTCATGTTACGTCCCAGAGGGCGAACCAGTTCTACCTCAGCTTGTTTACCCAGCATTAAGCTTAGTTCCAGCCGGAACGTAAGAAACCCGTTTCCTTTGCAAACACTAACTCCGAACAGGAACAAAACTTTAAGATACAGTATCATGCTCTGCAAGGCTCTTGTAAGCAAATAGTAAACTCTCCATCTATAATCATATTATCAATAATGATCCAGCCCGACACCCTATTCGGGCCAGTTGAAATCACGGGCAAAACCGACTACTCCGCGCAAATATCCTTTCTCTCACTCAATTCCACCGACTAGCGGTTTAGGCTTGACACCTTGCAAGCACTGTGATATTCTTCTCAGCCCTTCTATCATACAAGCTCCAATTCAGCTCCCCAGGCAATGCAAACCCTAACAAAATCTTCCAAAACTGCCCCAAGCTTGTTCCCGCTATGATAGCAAGGATAAGGTGATAGTCGTATTTGAAATGTTCTAGAAAACTCGCATCAAAATAGCTTGGTAATTGCATCCAAAGAAATCAACCACCAAAAGTATCATACGGCTTGCGTTAGTGACGAGATCTGCACCAGGCCGGGGAAGAGACGCCATTTTTGCCGAAACAACTACTGAATGCCGGCTTTGATATACTGGCATCGACGTCTGGGAAAGGTGTGATTATAAAGTCCTAGTACTTAGTAAACTCTCTACATTATGCTCTCCATGGGCTGCGACGCCTTTTTCAGATTTCTGCTTTGGTTCGCATCTCTAGCTCCTCTATCCGGGGACTCGGATAAATAAGCTCACATCTTCCCAGATTCCTCTACAAAATACCTAGACCCTTCGATCCAGCCAACTCCACATCTGGGTGCGACCACACTACTAAAACCCCCCACAACTACTAATTGAGTCCCCAAACTTGCCGGTGTCATTCATCGCAACCGTAATTGAACATGACGCCAGGACGTCCAGGTCCCACCACAGCGAGGCCATTAGAATGAAAAGAGAAAATACAGCCGATATGATACTAGAAGCGGCAGCTCGAACACCGTAGCAAAATTCTCAATTGTTCCGGTTTTTATGGTGGGGGAGTATCGCGAACCAGTGGGGACAAAAAGGCGCCTTCCGTGCCAGGTATGGTACCAGTAGTATTTAAAAACCCCCTCAAACCGTTGGTGGTAATGTCGGTTCGGCGGTTCATCTGTGGTTAGCCATGATAAATTTATTAAATCCCGAAGTACTAAACACGAATTTCTAAAGGTTCTTGAACCTCAACAAGATGCTTTCGATGCCCAGGGATGATGGGGGATATATCTATGATATGGGCTTTCCGGAGATATTTCCTTTAGGCTACATCATGGGTGTGCAATACATCGACCGGGAGCTGCGCCAACTTAACCTCTCACTTAATATTCCTGACTTATGTTAATCCCGTTCGGGGCATCACTACCGGTGAGTGAGGGAAACCCACGAACCCATGAACAACTCTGGCCTGCGGATTTGGCGGTGGCCAAGAAAGGCCAAAAACAAGAACCACAGTCAAACACCCATACAGTGCAGCCAAGACACCATTTCCGAGCTCACGTAGTAGAATATTACTCGTACTACACATTCAAGTTGGTATAAAATTTCTTCCAAACAACATCACATCTCCCCAGCCATCTAATATCTATCCATAATCCACGCCCGCACAGAAGGGCCATTTGCTTCAAGGGCTGCAGTTTCAGCTTTCTTCAAAATGATATACTTAGCAACACACGCCTCACCAATCCGAGACCTCAACTTTTTGTCGGCTCGTAGAAGGTCCATTGCCTTGCCTAGCCCATCAGGAAGCTGCCTGGTGATTCCTAAACCGTTACGTTCCCGAGATGTCATTTTGGATGGGTCGGCTAAGGTTATTAGCACCGTTGTGATGGATAAAGAAGTAGGAATGGTGTGAAGGGGATATTACAGTTACAGCTCTCGCCAGGCAATTTCATCCCGTCTAACATGCCCATACACCCAGCTGAGATTATACCGGTGGCAGCGAGATAAGCATTTGCAAGTCCATCAATACACCGAATTTCCCAATGAGCTTCCCCTTTGCTCACGCGCCTTAAGGGGGTTTCCCTATTTTCCTCTCCCCAAGCAATCCAAGTGCCCCCCGTCCAGCAGCTGTCCCCAAGCCTCTCATAGCTGGCCGCTTGTGGTAGCGTCAACGCCGCCAGAGACCCAAGGTGGGATAGCACTCCGGCAAAGAAAGCGTTTTGGAGTGACTCTGTGGGAGGAGCCATCGATACATGCATGTGCGCAGCAGTGCCAGCGGCGCCTTTGAAGGGCTTTGGATGAAGCGTAGCACGAAGGTTGTGGTAAGAACAAATACGCATAATTGTCTCGCGGGTATGGTAGAGTGCATCGATGGATTCAAGAGGTGGAAGTGGGCCGGTTACAATCTCGTACTGGGATGGTGCACTCTCGGGGTGGAATAGGAGGACTTCTATCCCGGATGCTTCGAGGGCATCGACTATTTGCTCAAGGGCTGTGAGGCAGCGATTGTGGAGGGATCGAGAAGTGCTCCAGGCATGCGTTTTGCTGGCAGCTTCGAGGTCGGTCTTATTAAGGAAGACTACTTCCGTTTCCCACCCGATGAGGAAGTCCACCTTGTGTTCTTCTTTAGCCCGCCGAACGGCTCGGGAAAGTATAGTACGCGGACAGGTATCTACTTCTTCTTCATTGTCCCTGAAGAAGCACATCACACTCGCGTATTTAGAGGGTTTCTCTAAAAGACCAGGCTCTCCAGGACAAATCCTCAAACTCGACCAATCCGGGACAAGATTATATCTACCAGCAGGCGTGAAATCATCTGTCGGACTGTCGTCTTGCAGGAGCGATAGGACAGCTTTGGTCACTGTCAGAAAAGTGCCTTTCGAAACCATCTTGTTCATTTGCGCTAGAGTCACAAGTCGGAGACGGAGAGTGTTGGTATAATCCACCCATTGCAAGCGAAAGTATTTGACGTGAGGATTCTTGTGGAGAAATTCAGAGAGCATTTGGGTCCCTTGGTTGATCGGGGGTGAGTGATCGACAAGATCAATTGTAGAAGCGAAGATAGGAATGAGGTTTAGTCTGTAGAGCTTATTGGAGTTCTCGAAGAGCAGGTCTTTAACAAAACCCGCCGCTTGGGGAACAGTCAACTGACCCTTTGCTACGCATTTCGGAAGAACCTGTTTAAAAAATAGCAACAAGTGAGACTACGACACAAATGCTTCCCGGCCAAGTGCAGGAAATACAAACCTCACCTAATACTTCACGTATCTGCATATTTGCCAGAGCGAATCCCTCGGGGAACCAATGACCGTCCGTGCTCCAGAGAAGCTTATTGCTAGGCGTGCACTCCAGACATTGTTTTACAACAGATTTTTGCCCATCTTTGGAAATCATAGGAAAGACCTCCCCAATATCGAGATACACATTCTTATACACAGAGGCGAGGTAGCCAGCTTCACGTGTAAATGGATAGGAAGAGTGCAAAAGGACAATCGGGACATCCGGATTCTCCTTGATAAAATCTTGCAAATAGCTAAGCAATCAGTCACGAGAAGGCAATACACAAAGCGGGAGACACGTACGCGGGATTGGCCTTCCTAATATTGAGATCATTATCACCCAATCCGGTGTGGAACTGGAAGGGCTTCCAAGATCCGCTCTTTGCGATGATCCTAGCAACCTCACACACCAGAAAATCTCCCAAAATCTTATCTCGAATTTTATATCGCCCGCCATCCCTTCTTGATCCCCGCAAGGCATTTTTTACAGCCTCTAAAAGCAACCCCCCCGTTGTTTCACCGGCGATATCGAGCCCGCTCCGATAACAAATAATTGACTTGAATCCTGCAACCACTGGGTCTTGAACGGCTGCATTGATCAATCCGGAAAACCGCTCAGACCATCGGTTGAATAGCTCCGCTTCTCGCGAATTGTTGCTTTCATCTTCTTGGAATTCGGGTGCAAATTCACGAAGCGTCTGCTCAGCAAGCGTCTCGACTCGAACAAGACGCTTTGAAGGTGACGAAGCGTAGCGGTCATGCCAATCGTAAGGATGCACTCCTTCTCCATCCAGCCCATCGTCTATGAGCAGACATTGAGTTCCAGAAAGGCATTTCTTAGCCCACGCTTCATAATCGATTGTCCTGCGTTTGTCTTTAATTGCTTCCCAAGTTGGGGCACAACCTAGCAAGCCCGAAAGCTGGGTGACGGCTCGCGCGTGGGCAAGGGTGCGGGTGGCATCACTGAGAGCGAGTCCAGACGCTTCGGATACTATAGATTCGAGGGGAGAAGAGGTTGAATCCACATCGCGGAGGAGGTTGTGGGCGTGATTGTCAATAATAGGGTGCGTGTTGATTAAGCCTCGCAGCTCAGCAATTGTTGTCGGAGGGTGAGGAGGAGCCATGATTACCGTAGATAGATGTATTAATGAACACTTGCTTGGGAGGATATATCGGTAGTAGGTGGGGGCTGGCGCAGTCGAAAATCAGGGGATATGAAAGAAAGAGTAGACGAAGACGTGACACTTAGTCTATGACAGACATGAAGCTACACTATCACACTAGTGCCCTTCCAAAATTTGGGACCCCGCACCGTTGCAGACTACGTGTGCTCGGGCATGGTTATAAAGGGCTGGAAACCTGAGGTGGTGGCAGAGCAGGGATTATGCTGATCGATCAATACAAGTAGCGTGAAAAGAAACATAGTATCGTAGAAGTCAGAAATCCAGATCAATTGCATTGCTGCTTACTTTCCTCTAGAGACAAGAATTGGAGATTCAGAAGGGCTGCTCAGGGTCGCAAGCAGTCCCTATGGGACTGGCCTGTACTGAACCAAGTTTCATGATTAGTATCTTACACTACCGGTATGATACCAGAGCATGCATCCCCCTCCTGTTTGTAAGGTAATTCACCTAGCATCGATTCTTGGTTGCTCATGTCAACTAGGCCTTGTTTTTTTCTCCCACCAGTGCTGAACAGCTGCCCATCTGTCACTACCCCCCCAAAATGGGATCTTGCTGATCCTTTTTCACCGCCTTTTGTGACCATGCCTGAGTGTGCAGAATTGTACTCGAGTACACATTCACGATACTCGTGGTATGCACAGTCCAGATAATCAAGCAAAGCCGAAAGATTATATATTAAAAGCGGAGAGTGCGCGATTTCTTGGCATTCCTCGATTAGTTATCTGACGTTGGATAGCTTTAGACTATGTTTGATCGGGCATCCAGCACTGTAAGTGCCTTACGAGAGATGGAGCAGGTAGTTTTTGTGAGCAATTTGGGCCTTCTTCTTCCACCAAGCTTTTGAGCCTCAATCAAACACAGAGAGAGACTTGACCACAATGATAATAATACTATTATGGAAATAGAAATTCTGAGACTCAATCAAAATACTTGTACCGCTACGGTACTTTTCTCAAGTTTCAGTCTGCTAATTACAGTATCATACTACTACGGTAGCTAGGAGTGTTGAGTGCCGATACCGGCAATCGTGTTCAGAGTGGCATACTATTGTTAACAAATGCTCAATTACCGTAAGCCTTCAGCTCTAGTCCTTATCGCACACGGAGAGGGTAAGCACTGAGGGGTCCAAAGCATTGGCACAACCCGCCCGAAAACCGGCGCCTCGATATTGCCCATCCATAATCCAGTTCATTGTCATTCCTAGCCGCACATAAACATGAGGGTTGCCTACGACCCACCCGGGTTCTATTTGTAAGAGCCAACACCGCGATCGAGTGAGTTATCATACAGCACGATACAGTATCGTACCATGCGACCAATTTTATCATTCCCCCGCCTCTCACCGTGTCTAAATTAATAAATTACATTGCACATACAGATGTGCGGGTATGATACTCGGGCACGCGGTCATCACACATAAAGCTAATTTTCTGGTAAGCCAGGCATAATTCTTGCTAGTTTACCAACCAGCGGAGCCTACAGCATCCAACGGTGGTGCTATTGCTGTATATGATCTCAAGTGCTGTACTGTACAGTACTCGCCTGCGGCAGCCTGCGCCTACTTGAGCAGTTGGCCCGCAATTCGGACGGACCATCAGTGAACTATGAACAGTAATGAGGATCATTCAGACAGACAGATGCGGGAATGTGTGTCTCCGCATGGGGCAATTCCCACTTGATGCCAACAAGCAAAATGCCTGAGCTCAAGATAGGGGAGCCCTTTTTTTAGGAGTTTCAGTAATTTCGTCAAATAAAGTATCATAAAGACAATCCGGGGCATCATAGGCATGCCGGTAGGGTTCATAGAACGTGTTTCTATGGATGGAAGGAGAGCCAGCTGTTTCGCTGTGCCTGATGCATTTTTCGGGTACCATCACCCGGATGCAGCAGGGTTGCACTTAAACCTATCCCCAACCCAGGAGATAGAAGTGGATTTCTAATCTCCCATCCACGAGAGCAACGATCCGCCCAGGTACAGTACCGGTGCTCGAGTATAATTATTCAGGCACGACAGGCCCTCTGACCAACGAGCGACAAGAGTTCATTCTTTCGCCCAAGTGCCCTCTTACAGTAACCAATCGGGTCCTGAATGTCAGGATTAGAGTAACCACAATTCTCGGTTATTTTTGAGTTGATTGAATGATCCTTGCAGGTCTTCCAACCGATGGCCTAAGTGCGGATGAGCCTATTTTTGGTGCGATGAGGAGGGGAAAAGGTCCTTTGATTGGGATTGTCCAAAGCGCATGATGTTCCAACGAGATGGATCTCGGCGTGAAACTAGACCCTCCAGAACTCGAATGTCGACAATAATAGCCACACCCGTTATGATACTATTCCGTGACTTTTTCCTGCTCCACCGTGCCGAATTACAATCCTAGCTCTTCAATGTGATCGACAGTTTGTTGATTTGGATTCCCTCCCCTCATCCCTCATCCCTCATCCCTCTCCCCCTTCTCCATCTTCTCCACACCCTCAACCTTCAATCTTCTTTCTTCAAAGCCCCCTTTCCTCCTTTCCTTTCCTTTCCATTTCCTTTCCCTTCCTCTCTATCCTCGCCCCCCCCCCCCCCATTCCTTCGGCTTTGCGGGATCAAACCACTCTGCGACAACAGCTGTCGCATTCTATTCAATCCATCTCCCGGAGAGTTCGTACCCCACTTTTCCTGTTCCTTTTCCTACCGTTTCTGTGTTTTTTTTTCGTCCTTCACCACCCTTTTCCCGGTCCCGCTACCAACAATGGTACAGCCCTTTAGATCGCTAGTCAGCATTCGCCTTTTCCTCAAGCCCCGTCAACAGTCTTCCAAAGATGTTGCGGATCCTGGCCCACCATCGTATCAAATGGAATCTCCCACTCACTCCCATCGCGCCCCTCCACCCCCCCAGTCCCGGAGGCGTTTCAGAATCAGTTACTTGTTAAGTCATGTAGCTGCCTTGTGTTTGAGCGGCATTGTGATGGCGGGTATGGTTTTACTGCTGCAAAAGTACGAGAATAAACCAGTTCCAGACTGGAAGGTTGTCACAATAAACTCAGCCTTGTCGTGGTTGGGGGTTTTCGGAAAACTTCCTTTGATGGTGGCTGTTGCGGAATGTATTGGTCAGATGAAGTGGATTCTTTTTGGAAAAGAGAAGAGGAAGCTCTCAGACTTGGACCTGATCGACGGTGCCTCAAGAGACCCGTTAGGTGCACTAAACTGGATGCTTAGATTCCGTGGAGGGTAAATACGTACTTCCATCGAGTTTGTTGAATGGTTATGATACTAACTTTTTTATTTTTATTTTTTATTTCAGATTTCTTGTCCATCTGGGTGCTGCATTCATTATCGCATCCATCGGCTTCGATCCGGCTATCCAGCAACTCGTATCTTATGAACCACGCTCGGTCGTAGACACAACACAAACAGCTACCGTCTCTAGCAACACTAATTACAGCCCTGTCCGTGGCTTCGATAACGGTCTAATTCTTGCTGTCCCTCGTGCTCTTCTTTGGGGAGCACAATCTAGCGTCTTTGGAGCTCCAATTCAACCATCATGGGATTGCCCTTCAGGGAACTGTGAGTATCCTGAAACGGTATCGGTTGGTGTATGCCAAGTTTGCACAGAGGTCACTGCTCAAATCGACCGAAACTGTACAACTTTGGGCACCCAACCGCCTTTCTGCGTCGGCAAGCAGTGTTTCACGTCTGGCCAACTATGCACCTACAGTTTCAACAATGCGTCTGTCGGCGGTGGTCGAACATTCATTGATGTTCGCGCCAATCCAGGCCAGTCTACTACTAATAATGGTAAAGTCTCCATACCTTCTAAGCGCATTGAGATCACTGCCCTCTACGTTCAGCCAGACGAGGCATCAAAATCGACACAATCGCTCCCTGTCGCACCAGGATTCATACCGGCTGGCGGCTCTCACGTTGCCCGCGCATTCTCTTGCGGTCTCTCATTCTGCCAGCAGACTTTCCGCGCATCTGTCACCAACGGTAAATACGCAGAAACCCCAATCTCAACATCTCAAGTCCCCGCCTACGTTCTTTCAATCCCAAATGTTGAAGACATCAGCGATACACTTCTCAATACACCACTTGCTGTTGCTCAAGACAATAAGACTCGTGTTTCTACCGCGTCTCTTTTCGCCATGAGTGAAGGACTCACTCTTTCCCTCACCGGCAATGCTTCAGTTATCAACGGCACACCATCCGCGGGAGACCAAATCAGCGAATTTCACAGGGGCCTTTACGAGAACCTCCTGAACAAAAACTTTTCGACAATCATGTCCGAAATGGCGCTCTCAATGAGCCATGCCATTCGCAATGATAACGAAGAATCTGCCGAAGGCCAAGTTAAAATTCAAGTCACCCATGTCAAGGTTCACTGGAAGTGGATTGCTTGGCCAGCCTCAATGACGCTACTAGCCCTCATTTTTGTCGTCAGTGTTACAATAAAGTGTTACTCCAAGGACATGATGGTCGGTTGGCTAGGTCACAGCCAAATCGCGGCACTTTTCCTCGGTCTCGAGGCGGAAGTGCGCGGATACGTAGACAGTAGCGGCGTCGTCGGAGGTCGCAGCGAAACTGCAAACGTCCGCGATTTTGCGGAGAAGATCAAATTACGCCTAGGCGTGGTAGAGGGTCGTGGAGAGGAGGCTATTAGAGTAAAATTCTGTAGAAGGGGCGGTTGGTAGGCGATTTTGTTGCATTGAAAATATGATGAAATAAAGTCTTATGTGTTATGATATCTTTTTTCTTCCTCCTAATTCGGGGGGTGTATATTCTTGTATATAAGGTTTGCCCGATGAGATTTTATGAGGACTTGGTGGGATGATTGGGAGTTTAGGGATTTAATTGGAACTGGGTAACATATCATACTTGATTATTATACATGGTCAACCGTTATCAAGCGTAGCCTATATACAATTACTTACTTCGATCTGATCTTTTAAAGCTCGCTTGTGAGAGCTGAGACTGATTCTCGCAGGTTAGGTTCTACCAGACGGCAATACTACTATAAGATTACTAGAGTCCCCTCCCACATTTATGTACCAAATGCCCCCAATTTACTACCTAGCAATATCGGGATACAGCGGCCCTCAGGCTTGGTACATGTACCGTATCATGCTGTAAGCGATGAACCATCATCTGCCGTCTATTCACCTTGGACATGCGACTATGGGTTTTTCTCCATTCACACTCTACCATCTATATCATCTATGCCATTGAGTATAGCACACCCACCACAAACACCGGAACATCCGTGGCTCCGGTGATGTTCTAGCGGTGTATATCAGATAGCCCTCCCTCGGAGCCTCAGTTAGGGTCACTACCGATCTCATTGTTGTCATTTGTATTTGTATTTGTATTTCTTTTTTTTTCCCCCTTCTCCCTGGCTACTTGGTGGTTTTCCCGGGTTCGTCCTGGTGCTTGTAGTGAGAATTGGGAAACCATGGAATATCACTCGTGAAGGACTGGGTCTTTTTGCCGGAATACACCGGCGAGGGGAGGTGGGATGTCATTATACCTCGATGTCCTGCACCCGCATCCTACGGATGCGCAGGCCCGCCGCAGAGGCCCTTGAGCTGTGGCCTCTCTCGAACGCCAGTGTTTATAGTCTCACGGATACATAGCGCCTATTATTGTATTAATGATGCACCAAGGGCGTTGGTTGGAGGTGTCTCTTGCATGAAAATATATCCATTGGCGTATTCACCAGTGGCTTACTTATTACCTATAGGAGGGATTAGGGCATTTACTTAGTTCGGGGTTTAGAGATGTATGTTGAAGCGGATCTACGATAGTAGGGTAGGCTTGACACTACCGATCTTGTGATATGTGATGTCGGCTCCTTGAGATTCTGGGAACGGTGAAAGTTCACGATTCGGTCCAGCAGGTTCATGGTGTTTTCTGCGGGGTGGGGCTCTCCCTTTACCTACTTTCTTTTCCTATTATCCTTGTGGTTTGTGGAGGTTTTCTTATTTTTTTTTTCTTCGAGATATAAAGCTCAGGAGGTATATGGTGCACCTGTTTCGTCCTCCGCCGCTCACTCTTGCTTGCTTCTCCGGGTGCCCACGAACTCAAGGTTTCGTCAATTCGTCCTATAGTATGATATTGTGGCTTCTGTAAACTATAGGGTATCATACGGATCATGGGCTACATAGGGTTCACTCTCGGCGGGTACAAGAGGTCCATGGAGGGGTTTTTTTTTTTTTTTTTTTTTTTGCGGATATACCGGTGCTGATGATAGGTTTTGGCGGTATGTAGGGAGGATAGTTGACGGCGTGTAATCTATCATGTCCAGTGGCTTCAAGTCACCGATTCAAAGATAAGAATTGACATGGGCTCCTGTATTCACCTGATATCACCTGATTCTCGTGCGTTACTTTCCCTCTACTTGTAAAAAGTAATCCGTGTGGCTTGATAAGCGGGGAAAGAAAACCGGGATAATTGAGTGTCAGAAGCAGAGAGAACTGGCACAACCGCGAAGAGCAATGTTTAAATCTTTGTAAAGAGGATCAATTGCTAGGAATTTGTCTACAATATTAAAGGTGTTACGACAGAGGGCAGTACTGGTCCCCTGGAATTATCCCCCCCTTGATTTTTTATGAAGCTCTAATCAGCACTTGACTTACTTACCCCACCAGCTATCAGTGGACCCTTCTCTAAGCCAGTGTTTAACCACTCCATCCATGAATGGCTGAGCCTGATGCGTTTTTAACTTACCTTCCATAACAGCCCCAACGAATAAATCCCAGATTTCTACATGTACCACCATTCTTTACTTTTCCCACAGATTTTACTAGGCTTCACAGCACTCAAGTATTTACTATCGAACTCGTGAATAGAACTGGTTCTCAAAGCCAGTCACACAGCAAATCCCACATTAGCTGATTATCCAGTAAGCTTACATGTGGTTCAAAGGCTGCCTGGACGTTGTTTGTCCAGGTATCCCTGACCCAGGGTGGGATACGGTACTGTACCCAGTCCAATGCACGATACAATAGCACCGGTAGAGTACTCGAGCAGCATTTGCCGGGACCTGGATACCCGGATTCGCCGCTACCACCACACACCTGCTTGCTACAGAAGCCAGGCCTGGGTCCCCCCCATGTGCTTCTTGTCTTGGGCTGTCTGGGCGCGGGCGGGTGGACGGATGGGGTATTCCTGCAAGGGGAAGGCGGGGAAAGACGCTCCTCCATCTTGTCCTTGTTGGAAACGTGGGACATTAATATCGTGCCGTTTTGCCTCGTTGGCCAGTCATAAGCAAGTGATCAAGGGTAATAGGCAGGAGATGTCTGATGGTATTTGCGAAGCTTTAAATGGAATTAATTCACTGGATAAGGAAGAGGATCGGCAATGGGATCAGAAGTTTCTAGAATTGTGTGAGACTTCCGCACAGCATTGTCGGATACGGTAGGAAACCCAAAGAGAGAACGGTAAGTTATCGAAAAATAAAAAGTCCCGGAGCACGTTTTCCCCGCGCTGTACGGTGCTCGAGTCTTTCTCGGGGGAAGTCTATTACACAAATGACTCAAAAAAAAAACCCCCCAACAATTCCGGAGGCCGTGAAACTCATTATCAATTACAGTACATCATAATATTATCGTACAACTCTGCTAGCATGTTTAGATCTGCCTCTTGACAAGTTTCTCTGCCTCCAGCCTAGCCGAACGGTCCTGTTTCCGTCGCCGCCGCACCTCCTCCACAACTCCAACTCTACCCTCCTCCACAACTCGATCCTCCTCCGCAGCTTCTGCCGAAGAGCTCTTTCTTCCTCCACCCTCCGGTAATCGCTCATCCTGGTCCTCCTCCTGCCGCTGCTGCTGCCCCTGCTGCGGCGGTGGCGATTCCGGGTCCGATCCGCCCTCTATGTTCGTTTCTATTCTTCGCGCGGGGACGCTAAATTGCCCTGGGCGTGTAACTGCTGGCGTTAGCGGTGCTAGCGGTGACGAGGCACCTGATTTTCTTTCTGCATCATAGATGCCTAGTTCTTCTGCGAGTCGGGTTATTTCTGCCTGGACGCTGATTATGCCGCCGCCTACTGTGAAGTCGTAGTTGTCATCGGATACTGATGACATGGCCGCTGAGTGCAGACCGCGCCAGACTCGGATCCCGCGGAGGATGGAGGGATCGATTATTGCTATCATTGCGTAGAAAATTCCACGGGCTGAATTGGCGGCAAGTTAGTTGGAGCTTTAGTAGTGGGGGCGCCGGTGGGATCCTCGCTCACCACCGTACAGAGCATAGTAAACGACGTCTAGAAGAGGGTCAGCACAGGTCTGCTAGGGCTGGTGCTGGTGGTTTCTTACATAAACTATAATCCCCTTGGGAATATATCCCACTTGCAGTACTAATCCTAATATCCGCAATCGTGATCACAAGATTCAAGACTACCATGACAATTGGATATAGCGCTGTCTCCCCCCATTAGCCTAAAACCAATAAAAGCCCCGCCATCGCTGGAGAAGAGCCCTACATATTCTCATAATAATATTCCTAAACCTACTAGTCGCAGACAACGTCCGACTAGCAAGCTTCGACGCACTCCTCGGGATATGCATCTTGTCATCCACAATCGGCTTCCCATGAGCATCCAATCTCGGAAGGGAAGTCGTTGGTGTGTGAGGACGCAACTGCTTATCCTCCTTCGTACCCTGCAAAGCTTTCTCCGAAACGAACTAAGAGCCATGAGCGACCTTCAATGATGGCTGGAGTGAACTCTATAAACTAAGTTACCTTATGTTTGTACAAGTATCCCATGGTGGTCAATGCTGACGCTGTGGTGACCACTACAGCCAGCAGAATCCAGAAGAGCTGCGTGCTAATCTGCCAGGTGAGGCGGTCGTGGGGATTGTGCGAGGTTAACCAACAGACTTCAATGACTGGGTCCCAGCCAAATTTCCCCTTAATCACTAACAGCCGTTAGCTCTCTCTGCGACGGCGAAAGATGGTAGCCGGTAGCTCACAAGGGGGTAGCGTGATCACGAGGTTGAGACATATCGTTCCGATGATGTAGTATTTTTCCAGAACCAAGCTGTTCAATGAGTGGACGAGTACGATTTGCAGATTCACGGCGATGCATAGAATCAACCAATTTGTTACTCCTATTTTGGTGGAAACCCATTAGTAGAAGTTCTTTCTTGTCCCTGTTGCATTAGTGTTTTTATGGAACTACTTACCGAGCCAGAATTGAATAAGCCATACTCCGGCAGCTAGATAGATGGTAATTGTCTTAGCGTGCGACCTTCACCGAAACCTTGTTTCTAATAATCGGACTTAACTCACTACACCAAAACTTGAAGCCTGTCAGCAATCATTCAGAACAGGCCGGACATCAAAGTTAAAAGCTTAAGAAATTAAAAAAAAAAAAAAAAAATCGGATTGTGAAAAGTGAAAAGAGCGAGAACTCACCCCCGGGCTAACTTTGACGCAAATAATGTATCCAATACTGTAAATGCAGCTATCTCAAAGGGAAGGGAATTAGTCCTATCACGAATGCGAAAAGCCCGAGAAAACATACTTCGATATCAAGGCATATGTCAGTAATCGGAAAGAAAGACGATCCAAAGCTTTCCTTGAATGCGGATCGGTGAATAGAACAGCGACAACAACGAGAACGGCAAGACAGAACAACAGCGATATTCCGGCGAGAATTGCGCTCATATTATTCTAATAATTTTTCCTCGAGTCAGCAAATTATCTATCGTTACATAGAACCAAACTCCCTCACCATCAGTAGAATCCGCTCTCCCGTTAGGAAAGACGTTTCCGTCGGAACGGACGCAGTAGCCGTTGCCGACATTGACATTCGGGTCAGTCCACTTCTTCTCTCTCGAATGTTGGTGCCAATAAAGCTCCTCCTGCAACTCCGGAGAAAAGCTGGGGTGGTGATCCTAACTCCAAATCCGAGCAGGGGAATGCGGACCAGGGCGCTTTTGAATGACCGACCGATCAACGGGTGCCGAACATTCAGGAGCAGAGACGACGACAAAACATGACGATGATGACAAGAGCAAGGAAGGAAAGCGATGTGTCGATGGAACTCTCTCTTTTCGTGAGCTGGACAAGACAGGGTATTGGCAGAATAGGAAAGAGACGTGATGCAGACTCCATTCAGCCGCGCTTTTACTCGTACAGGTAACAGACAGGGCTTACCGACATGAAGCACAGTTACTCCAACCAATTAGTGCATTTGTCGGGTGGCATTGGGTGAGAGGGATTGAAACACCAAAGATATGTTACCGGGAACCGGCTCCTCGCGGGTGGTCGGAAAATACCCTATCACCCACCCTATGAGAATAGAGCTTCTCTGTCTTTGTGCAAACGTTAGTATTTTCCATAAGGCGTTCTGAAGGATGGCACTTCTTGGTGTGAGTGAGGGAGGTGGTTGCACGGCGTCGTTGGAGTTGGTTCGCTCCCGGCTCCAGTGGTCTAACCCTAAGGTTTGAAACATGCTTGCTGTGGCTTTGTCATCCTAGTGTTGAGTGCCCCCATGACCGAGGGCATTTATGAAGCATAAATACAGAAGATTGTAACTGTTCTTTTCACTACCGGTATTCCCCGAAGATAATAATACTTGTATGATATCATAATATTGTTAGTTCCTTTCCAAAACAAAAAAAAGAGAGAACTTTGGATAGCACGGTGGCATACCGGTATCATGACGGCGACTACTCGCCGATATTACGATACTATCGTATGATAGATGTTTCTTTTTCTAGCAGGAATATGATGATATGATACTTCCACAATAACAATTTACCCAGTCATACAGAAAAAGATAAAACTAACCAACCGCCATGATCTCGAGTAATAAGTAGCCTACCTTGGAGTCGGGGAAGGATGAGCCATTTGACCAAAAAACAAACAAACTTGATTTGCTTTTCATCTCTTCCGGTTTCCCGATACTTGCCGAATCATCACTTTAATCAATCCTGGGGATAAAATGCCCCAACCCCGAATCCAAAAGGCACAAAAGCCCGGCCTTCTAACAGCACCTACCGGTATTCTAAGCGACGTATCGGGGCACCCGGACGGACACCACCCGAATAAGAAACTATCAAGTGGTTTGCTGTACTGTACCAGTACTCAAATACTTGTACTTGGATGAACTGTGGCTACTTTGCTGACCACCGCTCGTTTCCTCGTACTCGAGCACAAAACCCGCCAATCAGCATCTGCCCGGGTGGATGTTCTGGTGGTCTGGAAGGCCGTCTACATAACACCTCTATCGATGCGGCGGGGGGTGCCTTGGCATGAAATTGACCGTAAAAAATAAAAAATAAAAGCTAGTAGGCGTTCAAGCCATGATAATGATAACAGGAGAATTCTATTTAATTAGGCCCTGGTCGGTTGGTTATTTTTATGATATGTTTTATGATCATAAAAGTTGCAAACAACATACAAACAAGTACAGGGGTAGATCATGAATTCATAGTACTGTACTCGTACAATGTAGGGGTGGTCGTTCTCCTCTGTGGAGGTCATTTTGGAACACTGGAAAAGCATGCGTTCCAACCCAGGGCCATGAATGGGCGATGAGAAGGGTGAATGGGAAAAAATAAAATCAGAAACTGTTGGTTATGATCACGATATATTTGGTTTTTCGGCCCCAGCTTTTTCAGCTCTAGCTTTGTCAAGTTCAATAACTCTGATTTAGATGAAGGGTATGGTACCCATTTCGCAAGTGCTGTCCAACCACACTACCATTGAACCTCTGATCCCTGCTCTATACCATGAATTCATGATCTACCTACTCTTGTATCATACTTGTACAAGTACCCGTACGTTGCAAAGAAAATATAAATGTTCTGATTGGCCGAAGCGTTACGGGTGTCAATAAAAAAATATTGCGAATTTTTAGGCTATGCAGAACAACCCGCTCTACCTCGACATTTTTTATGGAGAAACTTATGCCATAAAAGCCACTTTTATGGCATGAAATAAACGAACAGGGCCTTGATTATCTATCTATTTTTTCTTTTGATTTTGTTGGGGTTTGAGGCTTAATTGCGCCTTTTTTCCAGCCTACATTATGCCGAAGCGTCCTCCATTGCATCGATCGAGGTGCCGTGCATAAGAGGCTCGGAACGATATCAAAGAATCAAGGAGAACGTGAAATCTGGGGAGAAGTCGAAACCGGTCCAGAAATACCATAAGAACTCGAACAATCGGACAATGCGCGAGGACGTTGGAGTTGCTCCTCCTACTAAGGTCTGGTGTTTTTTTTTTTTGTTTGTATTTGTCTCGGAGAGTAGGTTTTTTGGCAGTCCTTAGCCCCTTTTCTAGGGGGAGGAAATTTTGGACTGTCGTGCATAACTTGCACAGCACATAATCCGTTTATTAGAGTTCCCAGGGTATTGGAAAAAATCGGAATAATCATATTTCGTCACTCGAGAGGCTCAGAGCCTGCCGATATCTGTAAGTCTGGTGAGATGAACTCTCGTTGCCGACCTCCATAACTTGAAAAAACCTAGGCCAGCATTAGACAATGTCAATTCTTACACATTTTACTGTCACACCCTCTATCACTCGTGCGCAGAAGCGAATATGCTAGTGCTCAGGTACTATAACCTCCACCTCTAGTACGTGCACTCTGTCACTGGTGGTGAGTGCGCAGCAGAGGGAGCGTGGAGATGAGAGGTGATCAGATAAGAGTAAGATAATATGATAAGATAATATTGCGCTAGGGTTCCATTCCAAGTTCGCCAGATGTTGGTTCTGTCGAACATGTCTAGGGGGGAACAAAACTATAAGGCCCTGTTTGGCACGACACAGAATAGAGAAAACTGAGTTTTTGTGAAAATATTGGTGTTTGGCAAGCTCAACTTTTTTTTTTTTCTACTTTAATAGGTGACAATCATTTGAAGCATAATCAATAGTAAGATATTGATAGAATAGGTTGTACTTAAAAGTCAAAGTATAAAAAGATTTCCCTCTACTACAACCATACTGGAACTTGCTATTTGTAAAATATGAGGACTATTAATCTTGACTTGAGATTATTTATCCCTTTCCTGTTGACACATATTTAAGGATGTTTGTACAGTACCTCATCAGAAGTGTTCATGATCGTCTTACTAAGCAACCTCACCAAAAATGCCACCTCACCAAATGCCACCTTGCCAAATGCCAGCTTGCTGATTGCGCGACCGTATGATACCTGCCCCATACAATATTACACACCATGATACAGTGATCCTCTATTCGAATAATTCTTTAATTTTAATTTCCTCCGAATTTCCAATGGTTAATCGATTCAGATATAAATCAAAGCCAAAAAAGCAAAATTAAAAGACCACTCGAACTGAAATGACCAATGTGGAAAAAGGCATGATTATCGGATTTTTCCACTGCCTCCGGAATATTGCTCTAGTTGCTCAAATTATTGGCCGGCCATGGTCAACTATTAAAAGCTTTCTCACTCGCGCATGTGAGCATTTGTCCTTGGATAATATTCCTTGTCCTGGTCACATACCTGTTCTCAGCCAGCGACAGCATTGCACAATCATCTGGGATGCTAAATCCAACTGGAAAATAACCAGATCAGATTTCAGGAATAAATATGCGCTGGGTGTATCTCTTTCTACTGGTTGGTACCCATCTGAGTCTGAGTGATAGAACATGATTCTCTAACAAATTTATAGTAGATAGAGTACTCAGAGATGCCAATATTAAGAAATGGCTAGCCAAGTCAAGACCCAAGCTCAAAGCTGTCCATATAGCTAAGAGACAAAGATGGGCTACTGCTCATAGGAATTGGACAGCTGAGGATTTTGAGAGTCATTGTCACGAACGTGGCTTAGTGAGAAAAGGGTTTTCACGTGACACATGGTTATGAGTCACAGGTATGTTATTGTTTCACGCATATAACCTATTCGGGTTGTATGATTAGTTATGTGTGGGATTTGTGATGCTTTCGTACATGGCTCAAGTATGAGTCATAGGACATGCGCCTGACGAGTATGCCTTACGAGTATGCCTTACGGGCAAGCCTTGCGCACGATTTATGTTTCGCACATGACCTCATTATGATATCATGGGTTTCGTGCATATGACTCAGTCGAGTCATATGACTTGTTTATTGCGTTATGATTGGTTTATGAGTTTTGCACATGACCTCGCTATAAGGTCATGGGTTTTGAGCATGTGATCACTTTGGTCACATTACTAGTTTGTTTTGATTTGGTTTTACACATGTGACCACTTTAGGTCACATGATTAAAGGCGGGAAGAACACTATATAAGAAGGCCGATGCGGCCGAGGAAGATAGGTTCTTCACGCTTTGTTCTAAGTACTTTTCCTACATATTACTTTAACGAATATAAAACACCTTTACGATCTTTATCCTTATTACAACATTATCGTTACGCTAAGAAGCACTTGTTACGAAGATGAGTTAGAGAAAGCTTACGATAGGTGTTTCCGGTAGAAGACAGAGGTCTTGTACTATCGGTGACATAGGCAGAGGCCTAGAGCTATCGTAAGACAAGGAAAGAAAGGGAAAGGAAAGATAAGTATTGTTCCCCATCGCCAAGAACTAACTATCTGAAAGGAGATCGTTACAGTCATCTGGAGTGATGAGTACAGTGTGGAGAAATCCAGGGATCCAAGGCAGCAATGGGTTTTTAGAGAACCTGGGGAGCAGTGGCTTGCAGACTGTATTTACTCAAAGGAAAAGGATAAGGGTATTTCGCTTATGGTATGGGAGTGCTTTTAGGGTAAGAGAAAAGGTCCTTTGGTTCCTATTACCTAAAATATCAACAAGACCAGGTATGTTAGACTCTTAAGAAGATATCTTTTTCCTGTAATTCATCAAATAATTTCCTTTGGTATGCAACTTGAAGATATTCTTTTTCAGCAGGATAATGCTCCTGTTCATAAAGCATATAGTGTCATGGATTGGCTTGAGAGAAATTGTATTCAGGTTGAGGAGCACCCCCCATATTCCCTTGATTTGAAACCTATTGAGCATGTATGGGTTGAGCTTAAAAAGTGATTACACCAGCAATATCCAAGAATTGGAGATACCCCAGGAGGAAAAGAAGCTGTTAAGAAGAGGCTTGCACAAGTATTACCTTTGGTTTGGGAGACAATTCCTGAGGAGTTTTTTGAAAAGTTGTGGAAATCAATGCCTGGTAGAGTAGCTGCAGTATTGGAAGCAAGGGGAGGTTATACAAAGTATTAGCTAGCCTTATTTATTATTATTTTACTCTAAAATATATATAGCAGATAATTGATCATTAACCGTTGATCATTGAGAGGTAGTAGTTGAAGGTTGATTGTACACTCGCGTCGCGCAAGCGCTGTTGACAACCCCACCCCCCGGTCTCATAGCGCAACCGCAATTAAACATGTCTCAGATCACAAACACTTCTGATGAGTCACTGTAAATAGTAGAATTGTAGGCCAGATTATTGAAAATCTGAATATTCAGGGAAAACTTATTAAAAGAACATTTTTTTATAAAC